AATTTTTCATGGAATTTTTTTTGCTCTGTTTTTCTGAATTAACTCGTTAATTCAGAAAAACAGAGCAAAAAAAAATTCCATGAAAAATTAACTCATTAATTCAGAAAAACAGAGCAAAAAAAATTCCATGAAAAATTGGAAAACTTTTTTCTCACGAAAAATTAACTCATTAATTTTAGAAAAACAGCAAAAAAAATTCCCATGAAAAATTAACTCATTAATTCAGAAAAACAGAGAAAAAAACTTTTTTCTCATGAAAAATTAACTCATTAATTCAGAAAAACAGAGCAAAATATTTTTTTTTCTCATGAAAAATTAACTCATTAATTCAGAAAAACAGAGAAAAAACTTTTTTTCTCATGAAAAATTAACTCGTTAATTCAGAAAAACGGAGTAGATTTTTTTTCTTCAAGTGAATGCAATACGCCTCCGTATTAACGGACCTTTTCATTTTTATTTCATTAGGCTTCATGTAAACATCACTCTGTGAGCCTGCAGATACAAACGCACCTGTTCAGACAGGGAGACGGGTAGAGAGAGTCCGCCAAGGTCTTTCAGGTGTTTGTTGGTCTCTTTGGCCAGCTGGTTTGTGTAGTGCTGCACCTGCTGACTGTATACAAATCACAAATACTTACAATACAAGTGAACTGAACAGCTAGAATTAAGTCAAGAGTTAAATACTCACAGTCTCTCACGCAGTTCACTGGTGTCTTGATTTGTTCCCAGTTGGTTCACCATGCTCTTGATTTGAGCCGCTAATGAAAAAATAAATTAAAAAAATGTTACTCTAAAATCAGGCTCAATGCCGGTCCCTCGCAGAAGGCAAATAGGGACGGTAGTGTGAATCTATTTAACAAATGTATAAATCATAGTTAACATCAAAACAAGAAGAAATATTATTTTGTGCATGGAAATAAGAAAAAAAAAACAAAGCAAAATTAGTGAGAAATAAAATCACATTTGATTTACAATTAAAAAAAATCCCAATTCATTTTGAAATTCTTAATAAAACCAATCTTATCAAGAGTTCAGAGATTATTAAAGAATCACTAGCACGCTCATTCAAAAGTTTTTTTAATGAATATTTTAATCATCAATGATGCATATTAATGTAAATTGGGTCAGTGAATAGTATAGTAACATTTATAATGCATTTACTGGCTGATAAGAATTCAGCTTTGTCGTTGAAAGAATAAATTACATTTAAAATATATGTTCATATAGAAAATTAATGTTTTACGAATATTACTTTTTTTCTCTATAAATTGATTAAATAAATTCCTTGGTAAGCATAAGACTTCTTAAAAAAGTTATTAAGTTATTTCAAAAATAATGCACAGCCGAGGCGTAACGGCCACTCGACCGCATTACCACCTCGGGTGTGCATTATGTTTCTAATAATTCAACGGCCTGTCGTCAATCATTCCTTACATGTACTTCAAGAAATTAATTGATGTCAGACAATTCAGAAAGTTACTTTCCACTTCATTTTCATTCTCAATCTTAAGCCAGGGACACACTAAAGCCGATGGTCAGCGGCACCGTTGGCTCTAGTCAGATGCAATCCCCCCCCCATGTAGAATCGGGGTCAGTGAGAGAGAGAACACTGATTGGCTGTTCGATTTAGCGAACGAATCAGTGCACAAGAGTAAGAGAAAAAGTGATGAAAGCATAACAGAAGGCTGGTCTAATTTTAGATATTCTAATTTTAAAATGACGAATATAGACCCATATATCTGCTTAAATAAACAGTTATCTCCTTGTGCAAGCTGACAGTCAGATGTAGTCCTTTCAGTATGTTCAAGCACAGATTTTTATTGCCAGGATTTCAATAATGACCCGAAGCATTTAAATAAAAAAAAATGTTAAAAATCGTAGCTTCATCGGAATGGTTCGAAACTTGGTGACTTTAATGGTACTTGGTATATGAACACCCAAAAAAAATTGGGGACAGGATTTGAAAAGTCTAAGTGGTCATAAAAAATAGTCACACTCAGGACCTTCGGGGCAAAAATGACCTGCATAGAAAATGAATGGGAAATTGGCAAAAATGTGAAAATACTGAGTTTTTTTGTGCGTACAATCTACAAATCAGCAACGATCTTGAAGAAAGCACACAACAGTGAAGGGGTGAATCTATAAAACATCAAGAGTGCAACACAGACACATCCACACACACACACACACCTTTATACACCAAAAAAATTCAGATTATACATGTGTTTTGCATTTTTAAAAAGCTCAGTTTGTCCAATTGCTTTTATGAGGCCTAGGCTTGACTCCAAAATGAAATACAGCTTTAAAAAAAAAATTATTTTTAAAATATTTTTTTCTATTATATTCAATGGGGGAAAATTTGGTCATAATTATTGCATTAATACTAATTATAAATTTTTTTATTTTTTGAAATTTTCTCAAAACACCAAAAAAGAAAAAATATTATAAAAAACAATTATGATTTTCTTTTTTAAATAGAAAAAAAGTAAAAAAAACAAATTAAATTAAGAACCCCAGAGGGTGAAACAGTTTAATGCAGAGCTTAATCATCATGAACCATTCACTATATTGTCAAATTTATGTGATATACTCCCTGGTAGTATCTTTAGATTAATTGCTTTCTTAATTGATTAATTAACTAAATGACAACCGACACAAATCCAGCAGTCTCAGACACTCACTGTTCTGTGTGATCTTTTGAATGTTGGAGCTGCATGTCTGAATGAGGCTGATGAAGTCTTTCGGTGGGACGCGCTGCTCTGTCCTTCCGTACGACATGACTCCAGGATATTCTGCTGGCTCCGATGATGGATGTTTCGGGAGAAAGGGTGGATGAAACTACAGCAGGAAGTGTATATCAGTGCCTAAAAATGCTGCAGACAGAGAAACAGCAATTATATTACAACACACTATAATGCCTTATCATTGATTGCAACCACCTTGTGCCTTTAACTAGTGTAAGGAACAGTGTGTAGTCACCTTACACACTCGGTGGCAATGATGATACATGACATTAAACAGCCCAGATCACAGTATGAGTGTGCACTGTAAAGCCTAGAAACTGTATTAGCTATATACTGCCTGAATAACTTTCACCTACTAAAGGTTGAAGATAACCAAAATAAATATTAAATTAAAAGTCTGACACATTAACACCATTAGGGATGAAAAGGTTACTGTTTTGATGAAAAACCATCCCCAATGGTTAGTATTATACTATTTACTTCTTTAATTATCATTAAAGCCATATTTGAATTCCACAATTTGAAAAACTCACAGTAATACTTGTCATGTTTTGTTTTGTGTGAAAACATGGTGGAAGGAGTAAGAGGTTTTACTACAACTTTCAAAAACCTTTACAATCGAGTGCTGAGGGAAATTATATGAACGAATGTAAGAATTAATAAATTGAATGAATGTCATCTGTTTTTTTTTTTTCAGAAAAGTTTGACTGTTTTTGTTCAGACCATTTTTTTATGCACGATAAAATGCACATCATACCTTTTCTTAAGGCCGAAATGGCTTTATATACATTGTCAATTTATTAAACATGAAGTATGTTAGAAGTTATGTTTAGAGTCACACCAGTAATATTTTTAATTAATGTAAAATTCATCCATCATTGTAAATGACTGAACAATAACATGAAGGCTGAACATTAACAGCACATTAAATCAATAACACTGTGATCATTTTTGTCTCTATCATCATGATATTAAATTTCTTATTATCTCAAAAAAAAAACTATTCAGAAACAATGTAATGTTAGAGTTAAACAGCTTACACATATTGCAGAGTCAACAAGTATGTTTCACCAGTATCACACTAAACATGCAGTAAAAGTCTATATATAGCACTATTACCGTTATTCTGGGCAGATGAGTAAGGATTAAATACTTAAATAATATAATTATATGTGCAAATAACCAAAAGATCATCATGATATATATGCAAATAACCAATAATAGTACGTTAACGTTACATAGTACACTTAAATAGGTGGTACTAACAATTAATAGTCATTTACGTTATTTTACTAGTATATGTGTCGTTTATTTATTTTCAGGTGACCATAAAAGTATGTTATAGAGAAACTGACACCAGAACAGTGAATGCTAAGTTGGTGAGCTAACGTTAACTAACTAATGACGTAAAACGCCGCTGGAAACTTTTGTTGTTACATGATAAATGATTCGGTATTATTTATAAAAAGTCAACAGACTGGTTTACTCTTAAATACCACAAAAAATACTAACTTACAATTCAAACAAAAACCAGTTAAAGCACAAAACAACACCCTAGTAGTATTAGCATAAATATACTGACACAAAAGCAACATAATGCTGCATTATACCATACGGATTTAGCCAAGTCTGACATGTAAAGACGCTTTCTTGTCCATATTAAACCAGTCATTGCGTTGTTATTATTATTTCTGAGGAATAAATGTAACGTAATGGTCTTACTTGAGTTCAGGGCCGCTCCTTACTCGGGACTTCCGGTATGATGCACTTTGTACTTCCGCTAAGGGGCAGTGCCTTCAACAGCACGTGATAACAAAACCGGGTACACAAACACACTGTGATTTAAAGAAATAAACCGTAAATAGCTCAAATCTACACTAATAAAAACAATGCACAAGTCTTTTTCTCTATATCTTCAAATTTATATAAACGACCTTATTTTATTTAATCTTTTATAATTATTTGCTACCACTGAATGAAACACTTTGTAGTTTAAATGATATATTTGCTGTTGTTTTTTTTTCTTGTAGCTTACACGTTTTTTTGGCCTATACTGTACTTAAGCTTAAATAAAAATAAGTTAAATAATAATAAGTCAGTGGGTGAGTACAAATCAACAGATGGTGCCAAATTAGCAAACCCCTTTTGGGTTATTATTGGATTTATTTTGATTTGGTATATGCATAAAGCTAGATCGATGAAATAAGTCATACCATAACCATCTTTTAATAGAAAAAAACAAGAGATTGCTGTTCAAACCAAAACTTATATCAGTTATTTATTGTGTTAACTGTTTATTATACACTTCCAAACAAAAGAACGTGGCAAAACAAACAAACCTGAATTCATTTCATTTATACACTTCTTCAATGACATTTTAAATCACATACAGTACTGCAAAAGCTGCATTCTTAAAAAAAAAAAAAAAAAAAAAAAAAATCAACTAAATGTCCAACTAATCGTCCTCATTTACCTTAACATTGGATTCTTTGTAATATAAACAAACAGTAGACGAGTGAAAAACCAAGAGTATATATACTCAGTCCATATCCTCATGTTGATAAATTGGTTCTGGAAGGTAACAGGCAACACTGCAGGTGACCCCGTCCCATGATTCAGGAGGCTGGAAGAAACAACCAATCAGAGCACTGTAAAGTTCCTCACTCTGGTCCATAAATCGCTCATTTTCCTCCATCACATTTATCCCAGAGTCTGGATCTGCAACACAGAGAAACAAGATGCAAGTGTAATATAATCAAGGCTTTTATATAGTGTAAACTGTCATTTGTATTACATCATGTTACAATTAAAAGATGTGATAAGTGCTTATGTGGAATATTGAATCCAAATATATATATATATAAAAATAAAAAAAAAGTTAGATAACATTGTCCAATACGCAAATTAAAACTTACACTCTAGGTCATCCTCCATCTCTTCATCCTGTGATTACAAAAAAACATATTTATTAGACACTAAGGCTAACAAAACACTGAATATAATCTAACTTTTACAGTCTGATAAACAAGCACCACTGACAGTAATAGGAATAGAATTGAATCTGCATTTAATCAAATGTTAATGATTGATGTCCTGAAAAAAATCGTCCACATATTAAATCACATCTACTGTACCTGTAGGATGTTTTGGGGAGGATTTAAGCCGTTGTAATCATAGTTCCAGTCATATGTAGACGAGTAGCTGGGGTACCCTGGGTAATAGTACTGGTTCAGATATGAGTTATGAATATTATAGCTGCCAGCATGGAATTGCCCATTTTTGTTCTCAGACGACTCTTTCTTCTTCCTGGAGTAGGGAAGGATTAGAAACATTAACGTCAATGTTTTTGTAGCAAAAATACAGTAAAAACAGAAATATTGTGAAAAATGTGTGACAAAATTCACATTCTAAATACCTACTGAAATATATAGTAAAGTGCATTGTAATAATATTATATTTTAACTTAGTCCTGTGATGATAAAGCTGAATTTTCTGCATCATTCCTCCAGTCTTCAGTGGCACATGATCCTTCAGAAATCATGCTAATATGATGATTTGATGTGCAATAATTATATCTTACTATTATCAATGTTGAAACGAGATTTATTTATTTATTTATTTTGGACGCCATGATACATTTTTGATGAGCAGAAAGGTCAAAAGAACGTCATTTATTTAAATAGAAATATTTTGCAACATTATAAGTGTCTTTCCTGTTATGTTTAGGGATGGGCAATGATTAATCGCGATTAATCGCATCCAAAATAAAAGTTTGTGTTTACATAATATATGTGTGTGTGGTGTGTATAATTATTTTGTATATATAAATACACACACATGCATGTATATATTTAAGAAATATATGCATGTACATACATACTTCATATATTTATTATTTATACATAATTAATATTATGTATAAATATAAATATTTGATATATTAAGAAATTTCTTAAATATATACATGCATGTGTTAGTATTTATATATACAAAATAATTATACACACCACACACACATATATCATGTAAACACAAACTTTTATTTTGGATGCGATTAATCGCGATTAATCGTTGCCCATCCCATTTGATGTGTCCTTGCTGAATAAATTCTTACTGACCTTAAACTTTTAAACGGCAGTGTTTTTTTTTTATTTAAAAGGCAAAATTTGTGTGCAGATTAACAAGGAAAGAGAAACAAATAACAATACTAACAAATACTCACAATTTATTCGCAGCCAGACTGAGGCGTATATGCTTCTTCCCGAGTCCAGAGGCACCCTGGAGTGCTGCCAGAGCCTGTCTCTGCTCTCTCTCACTCTCGAAGCTCACAAAGCCACAGCACCTACAAAACAACACGAATCAGCAAAAGGAAATGAAGAGGAAAACATTTGACAGGAACTTTTTCCATCAGGTCTCACTTTGAGTCTCCTTTGCTGTCCAGAACTATCTTCCCATTGCAGCAGGATGAAAAATGAAAATTAAAGAACTCATACAACATGCCATCATCCACGTCTGGGGTGAGATCCGACACGAAGAGGGAGAACGTAGAGCTGCAGGGAACAGCAGTAAGAGCATCATGCTGTTTTAATGAATCACATCAAGTTAGCTGTTTATTAACTTTCACTTAATTGTCTGAACATTTTTTTTTAACGTATTGATAGTTTCATGTTGACCACTTTGTGACTGCCCTGGACATTTTCAGTTATTTGCTTGCAGCACTATATTGCACAATTCATAAAAAAAATAAATGCTCATAAAAAGGAAAATATGCATTTCTTACCAGCTTTCACCATGTTTCCCGTAAGTGGACCGACTCAACTTGAACCTCTTTGGCTGTAAAGATTGCATTTTAATTTTCAGGTTATGATAGAACAGTCAAACTTTTTTTTTAAATGAAATGTTCTGCAATGTCAAATTTTACAAATATGAACTGGTCATCACTTCAAGTTAGAATAAATTGTGAATGATTACAGGAGTGGCACCAGGTAAAGGTTTTCCATTCACTTTGCGGAGGCATCTCTCTACTGCAGTGTCATCTCTCAGCTCCACAAAGCCATATCCTGCCATTTTCCTGAAGAGATCAACAACATCATGACACTTAATGATAGATAGATAGATAGATAGATAGATAGATAGATAGATAGATAGATAGATAGATAGATAGATAGATAGATAGATAGATAGATAGATAGATAGATAGATAGATAGATAGATAGATAGATAGATAGATAGATAGATAGATAGATAGATAGATAGATAGATAGATAGATAGATAGATAGATAGATAGATAGATAGATAGATAGATAGATAGATAGATAGATAGATAGATACCCTGTTATTTTGTCTCGGATAAGCCTGACTCCCATCACTGTTTCTCCCATATGAGCAAAAGCTCTGATAATGAACTCTTCATCCATGTAGGACTCCAGCTATCAACACATACATACTTTTAACGTCACATTATCGTTGTACAAACTGTAAACACGCAATTGAACACTTAGTTAAATATAGAGAGATACGTTATATTTGCTGAACTCACGTTGCCCATCCAAAGGCTGTTCATTTTGCGCTCGTGTAATTTGTGCTGTCCGTATTGTTATATTTCGTAAAGTGTGTTTACATTACCGTAAAATTATTGTATTTTTATTTCCAAAAAGTCCGTTTCTTTCTTTCTTTCTTAAGTAAAACCAGGTTGAGTAACTCGCAGCACGTGCAAATGTTTATAAAGAAGTTGTGTTGTCCGACGGCGCCATCTAGAAGCGAGAAGAACCAGCAGAGGGTAATAAGTATTGAGTGAGACACACATGCCCTGTATTTTTTTACAGTCTATGGTCAATACCCACACTACGCCCTAAGGTCGTCCTCGAAGTGGACACTTGTTGAAAGTAACTGAGTAACTGCGCAAGGGCACGAAGCTGTGTGAAGAGAAGCCGAAGTTACGACGTCACTTTGTAGGCCAAAACGCGGAAGGGAGTTAGCATCATAGAGTTAGCATTTTAGCACTTCCGGTCCCCTCGCCCTAAAGTCAATGGGTTTTTTGAATGGGTTTTTGCTAAAATCGCCTGAAGTCTGTGGTTAAAAAAGCCTCTTAATATTTTTTTTAAATATTAGATTGATGAAATAAAACACACCAGTTATAACCTGCTTGTATTTTTTTTAAACTTTATTGTGTCTGCTTGTGTTTAAAAAAAAAAAAAAAAACTTAAAATAGGCTTCAAAATGTATAAATTGACGTGTAAGGGTCAAAACTCTTTGTTGAAAACAGATCTTATTTTTTGCGACTTTCCAAAAGTCAAAATAGCTTGTCGATTGCGTGCGCTAGCTATTTACTTTTAACTTGTTTTTTTTGTTTGTTTTTTGATTCATTAATAAAATTTGCTCACTGGCCATTGGATGGTTATTAGCACGGAGAAAGTGGAAAAGTGGTTGTGTTTCCTTTCAAACCCACATGAGAGCGACAGACACCGCTTTTATTTTAAATTCAGACGAATGTAGCTGCTAAACCTACGTTTCAATGGCTACTTAACTGTATCATTTCTTTGGATCAAAACTAGCTGTAAATATGGATATTCTTATGTTAAAATAATTGAATTGTAATGTTCGACAAAAAAAAAATATTTTAAATGTTGAAATTAACCCACATGTGGCTCAATTTTAAGAGTTTACGCTTTGACATCTAATTTTCTGGAGGAAGCAACACAGCACCAGTGCAGCTTTGGACCACATATATACACATGTTGCTAAATTTAAGACATTTTCATATTTTGTAAGAGATTTTACATCACAATAATTCTTATAGGCCTTCTCCTACGACTTTATGTAGTGAGAGTGGAGATGAATAATTAACTACAGCTCCCTGATCATGTGTCAATATCCTCCCCTCAGGCTCAGGTTCAAAGATTATATGCAAGTACAAGCAGATCATGTAGAGAGACCATTTAATGTCAGTTTTCATTGTAAGTCAGTCTTTTCTAATGAGTTATCAGGTGCGGCGGTACATACACTACACTGAGAAATGCTGGTATGTATTTCAGTCATGCCTTCAGTCCTGATAATCATGCATGATTAAAAATGATTCAAAGAGCAAGTGGAAACAAGAACATCTGACAGAGTTCACATGACCAATGCCAAAAAAATGTCCTTCTATTAGTGACCTAGAAATTGTTTTACAATTTAAAAAATCCTAAAAGTGTTTGTTTTGATCCCAACTGTATATTCACTATATATTGATAATGACTGTTCAATATGTTCTCTCTTCACGTAACATAGCATCTCCTAAAACACTGACTCACACACTAAATCTCTCATCTAACCTACATTACATTCATTTGATTACCATGAAAATGTTGCTAATTATGAAAATTGCTTTTTTTCTAAAATCTAAATGTCTGCCAAATAAATGTGAAAATGCCAGCAACATGGGAAAAAAACTATATTAAAAAAAAAAGTTATTTGTTGCAGTTTTTATTTGACCTACACACATCACAATTTCACCATCTTCTTGGAAGACAACAACATTTCTTTCCCTAATTATCATTCTTTTATTTTGGCCAAAAAGGGCGTTGGTCCAATAGCAAAGCAGTACAGCACAAAGAGACCACAAGAAATCGTTACAAACAATAACGACAGAGGAAAATTCACAATCGTTTTTATGAGCCAGCTGTCTGTGCGAGCAGGTCCCACATCCTCAGTCTCGCCCGCAAAGAACACTGTAAATATGACTAACTGGAAGCAGCAGACATTACAGATGCCAGATTCAATTCAATAATAAGATGTGGGACCACGACTCATTACGACTGTGCCAAGTGTACAGTATAAATTAAGTACCAATATGACCAACAAAACACGATAGAGCCTAACTTACTGGAAATGTCAATGCTACAACCTCCAATGAACTCAATGGAAGAGCATGTACATACTGATTCGGCTACTAGATGACATTTACACCAACATTTAGTGCATTACCAGTATAAAATGAGATGAAATTCTGTGGTATAACAGGAATGTGTTGGAGTTAAGCAGACTGTTGTCATTATTAACCTTTTCTGCAAGTATCGTCGCATCTAAAGAAATGAGTCTGGGTCATATTTCACTGAAAAATCAAAAGGAGCTAAATTATATTTTGCATACTTGTTCTTCCATTTTGCAATTGAGCACAATTATCATTATAGAAATGCAAAAAAACAATAAATGTAAATTAAATTTGAGTGTTTAAACAGTGGTATGTGTGTGTATAATAGTCATTAAAATCATCACTTGTTTGCATAAAAATAATTTGGACAAAAGCACTCTTAATAAAACAATATTCATTATGTTAGAGATTGTGTTTAACTGTGATGATTTGCAAAATATGATTTGTTATGACCAAGACGTGTTTTGCTGTAAATCGACAGATATTACAGACTCCAGACCAACGTTTGTACCCACAGCTCAAAGATAGAGGAATATGCTTATGGAAAAACACATACAGCAATGTATTGGCACAGTTTAACGTTTTTTCAATCCCTGAATTCGGGAATGTTAAATGGAAATCCGAGAGCATACAAAGCAGTGTGCTTAATAGAGAATCCAATAAAGCCAGTTCACATCATCATGTTGGAGATTAGGGCGTGTTTTTAAGGTACCAACACAATAAAAGTTCAGCCTGCGAATTGTTCCCTATTTCCAAATGATTTCTCAGTACAATAGATGGGAATATAAGAAGGCCATCTATGCAAATTGGCAAAGTGATTCAATTACCGGACTATTTCTTGGACTGTGAATTAGTTCAATCTGGAATAAACGTGGGGTTGCAGCCCAGATTAGTTGACCTAATTACTACACATCCAAGCGCTCTGATGCAAACAAGATTAAGACAAATTAGTGGCGTTTAAGCGTCGGAAGCAAGACAGGAAATAAACGAGATAATCAAAACAAAAGCACAAAGGTGTAAATGAGTGACCGTGTCTCAGATTGAGGGTAAATATCAGAGTGAGAATGTGCTTTTCTGTTGATTGTTTTTGGCATATGGCATGGCATTGAGACATATAAGGCAGGCACCGCCAGCGGAGCGATGGGAACAGGCAGGCCTCCCTTTGGGAATGTGGACATGGACCAGGGAAGAGAAGAGGATGTTGGATGCTACCAGGTTTGGCTCTCATGCAATCTTCAGAAACTGATCCACTGTATCTGCCTCCACTGCCTCAGAAAACATCTCGTAGTTCTGAAAGAAAGAAAGAGAAACACACACACACACACGGGATGAGTGTCTATGTAGTTCTGAAGCAAAATGAATCTGATGATAAATACACATTTTTATTTTATTTATTGAATTACATTCTGTATATAACATATATTGTATAAAATGAATGATTTATATTTAAAGGGATAGTTCACCCAAGAATTTCAAATGCTTATAACTTTGGGTGTGGTACACTTATTTTCACGGGAGTCATCTTTTTGAGTTCCTGAATCATTGCCGAGTCCAACGATACCAAACATGTTGGGTTTCGTCTTTCGTCTTGGTGTAGCGTAGCAATTTAGCGCGAAAAAAAAACATTTGGCGATATCTTCGAAACCGCTGCTCCGATCGAGACGAAACCACCGTCAGAAAATTGGAAACATAGGTCGATAGCTAAACACCAATGCCCAAATTTGAAAATATTGATAGTAAGGGGTAGTAAAATTCAAACAAAGTCATGTGTCAGTCATTTTTTACGTGTTTTTTTCATATAAATGTCTATAACTCTGAAGCGAATTGAGATATTTTCACCAAAATCTTCCTGTCATCATTTGCTCTGATGTCTTTCTTCCTCTATACACAAAAGAAGATATTGTGAAGAATGTTGATAACCAAAGGATTTGGTTCCCATTGACTTCCTTCCCTATTTTTTTTCTTTATTTTTTTTAATCAGTGCACTGGAAGTCAATAGGAACCGAAAAAATGTAGTTTTTATAAAGAGTTCTTTAAATTGTGTTCTTTTATGTTCTACAGAAGAAAAAAAGTCGTCATACATGTTTGATTACATTTTTGGGTGGACTACCATTCAATAAAATACATTAGGAAGACAAAATGAAAGGAATGGTTTAATTCTGATATTATTCACTGAAAATGTGATGCTTCTCTGTTGCTTTTAAATTTGTGTTCACTGGCAGAATTTCAGTAAATAATGACTTGAATTTTGGACACAAACCTATAACATGGCTTCAAAAGACTAGTATGGATTAGTTTTATGGTACTTTAATATGGGAGAAAAAAAGTCAAAATAAAGATGCATCTCAGCTCCACAGAAAACAACATTATGGACATTATGACAGAATTTCTATTTTCAGGGAAGTCCTAAATTCGAACCATGAAACACCGTGTTGCCAGTCCTCCTTACCCCACAGTACTGGTCTTCATTAAATATCTGAGGTGGGATTGCTGTGGGGTTGCCTGATTTACTCCTCATCTCATCCCGAACTGCACCGCCCACCGAGATGTCAATCAACTCATACTTGATGCTCTTACTGTCCAGAATACGCATGACCTCCGCCTGCTGAGACTTGACCTGAGAAACAAGGAGAACTATAACAGTACAGTCTCTTTCCAGGGCCTATTTGTTAAATAAGTGAACCATGCCGTTGTCTGATTTGCATTTTTCAAGCCACCGCTAGAATTATTCAAATTTAGCTCAAGGATCGTTTTAAGAGAACAAATTACAAAAGATACACAAGAGATTCACAAGAGTATCTTCGAAATAATAATTTACCAGCCCCTTGAAACATAAAAAGGTCAACAGTGATAGAAATGTGAATGCAACTTCCTGAAAAGTCACATGATCATGAACATTTTTGGGGAAGTTAATTTACTGCACCAATTCAGGAAATGCATTAAAATGGTACAGTAAAAAAACACTTTTCATCTGGTCTTTTTACCAACCAAAATAAATCATGCATCGCATGAATCGGTGCCAGAGGTTTCACTACAAAATGCTGAGTTGATTATAATGAAACACTTTGCAACGAGGCTGTATTCGGGAAGTTGGGTCATATCTGCAGAAACCACACCTTAGGCAATTCACCGGTTAAAAATTAAACATTAACTTACATTTAAATGGGAAAATAGCTACTATTAGGGTGAATTAGGGGACTTTAATGCATATCTCATACATTAAACATGTTTTCAGCAATCCTTTCACTTACCCTGCATTTATAATTGGTCAAACATGTCTGCTGTATTGTTGCTATAGTGCTTAAATTGCTTTTTTAATTACTTGTGTTTTGTAAAGCACCTTAACAAGCACTAACATGTCATTATTTTTTGTTGTTTGTATCAATAATATGTAACAAGTAATTTGCACGATACGGCAGGTCACGTGATCCCAACATGGTGGCACCCATAAGGGGCGACCCACTCCACGTAGACTAAATCATTTTAATAACATTTCTCAAAAGTGCTGCTCATTAATTAGATTGTAAAACTTTAATAAGCAAAAAATGTGATATTAATATGTTCTGCTCATCACGTGACTTGAAGGCCCGCGATTATAAAAATGCAGCGAAATCAGTCATAAATCGCTGGCATTCTTTTTTTATTCATTACAGATGTGCACAACCTCAACAAAGCAGAAATGTAACTTGCAGAAGCTAAAATGCATCGTTTCGATCGGATTTGCCACAATGACGTGACGATTTAAAGCGAACGTGTTTATTTATGAGCAACATCTGATGGGCGCTCGTGCAAAACAATATTATACAAGTCCTACTCGATTCATCATTAGTGCGAGACCAACTACATTCAACAGACAGACAACATGACTTCCGCTCGCAATGCACATCTTTCCTTCAATCGCTAACTTACACATCCGGAATCTACAAATAACTACGTTTTGCAATTACTTAAAACGTTTGAGTGCTACAATGGTGTTTTAGTACGGCATTTAGACGCGTTCTTACGTCGCTATAGCCTTTAAATGTGGCTGGATGTATGTAAACGTAGCAGTTGGGTGTGTCTAGAAGCCTAATCCTCCATTTCAAATGTATTTAACTCTGCATTCTTCAGATATAATGCTTACTTTCTGAATCCACATAGTCACAGGTTTATTCTCACCTCTCTTGATGCAGTGACGGTGGTGTAATACAGTTTGATGCCCATAGTTGCTGATGCTGAATCGTAATGTCCCTTTGTGTATCTGGAGGCGATCAGTTCCCGTTCTCTTGCTCTACAGTCGCCGTTTCACTACTGACACACGCTATTCACTCATTTAAAGAGACAGCGCCTTATTTTACATAAGGAAATGCTGTCTCATTTTGGCTTCCTCATGAACATAATGCGTAGCCTTTCCGTTGAACAAAAGGCTATTTATCCCTAAAACCGTATTCTGGACAAATGTGGGCTAAAATAGTTTTGATTTATGTCTAAAATATACTTCCCTTGATCTGAGCGCTACAAGACTTGGCTACTTTTCCTAAGTTTGCCTCCTGAACACACTTTTTTTTTTTAAACTCAATTCTACAATGTTAAGTGGGTGAAAAAAAAAAAATCCTTAATCTTGTATTTGGGTCAAAAATGGGCACCCATAGAAATGAATGGGGAAAACTGTTATTTAGAGCATTCTAAAATAAGCCAAAATAAGACACCAGGTGACAGCAAAGTCACTTCATCTTCAGGTTTTAGCTCTGAGAACTTATTGGAATGTCATTTTAATAAAGTTAAAAAAATAAAACATAAAATTAAGCATAATTTACATAGAAAATATGGTACCTTTTGAAGTAAATAAATTCAAAAATATGCCCAAAATAAAAAATAACACCACAAATGGATTGAACAAACTTTATTGAAGACAATGATATAACATTTATAATAAATAAAAATTAGGATCACAGCTGAGTCCTCTGTGCCCACATTTGTCCACAATTACAGGATTAAAGTGAACACGGTTTGAGGGATACAGTATCTTTATTATTTTATTATTAAAATGTTTTTTGTTTTTTACGCTAAGAAAAATGGTTGTTTTAACCAAATTCTTTAGTGAATCAAAAATGTCATCACAGTGGAAAAAAATATTGGAACTTTTTTTAGAGTGTGGAAGATAATTCTGTTCTCAAACCATGTGTTTCCAACTTTGCTGAATTATGGAAAGGAGACTTGTATTTTGTAATTTACAATATTCTGTTATTTATCCCCCTCTCCCTTATTAAAATGAATTCCATATAACAATATCCGTCAATGATGATGATGAAGTTAAAGTCTCCTTATTTATAACTTGAGGTGTGTTTTGTCAATACTCAATAGGGAGCAATTTTTAATAGCCAACCTAAAAAACAACTGATTATTGAAAACAAAAAAAAATCCCTATAGACATAATCTGTCAAAATTAGGCATGTGGCTTGCAGATAAAATAATTCATAATAATACATTAATGTGTGATTACAGAGTTACATTTTTTAAAGTAATTCAATGCCATGTATGATATGACCCAAATACCCCAAGTAACAATTCTAAAAGAGGAAGTTCCTCCCTCAGATAAAGTTTATCAGTGTGTTTGCTCCAATCCAGATGCAGCCCAGCTGCAGACATTTTACAGGAAACTGTCAACGGTTTCCTGTTTTTCCTGTGTTTAATTTCTATATAGATCTGACTGTTTTCTGACCTTTCCACATTTATGCAAAAAAACTATTTTAAACTATAGCATTAAGATGACAGTTCGAATGAAAACACAAGAGGGCAGTACAGCGTCACTTTGAATGTTTAATCAAACCACATGACCATCTCCAAACAAGGTGGCCTTTCTTTCATAATGTTCTAGTCAGGCCCAAACCATTTGGAAAATATGAAAGCACTAACAGAACTTTTGAGAGAAATAGATTAAGAATGTGCAGTAGTATATGTATCATACTTCTATTTAAAATGTGCATTGTTTCATAATACAAATATTTTTTAAACAGTAACAGCAAACGAAAACATGTTCTGTTAAGTTTAAGTTTACACAACTTAATACAATACAACACAATACGTTACGTAATACAATTCACACTAGTAAAAACACTGGTGAAAAATATCAATATAGAAAGAAAATCTCCTCATATTAACACAGTGCATGATTCCCAAATAATTCTGTATTTAATAGTAATTCAATCAACAATACACTTTCTTGTTCAATTATTGAACTAGGATAATGGTAACACGACAAGCAATTAAAATACAAAAAAATAGTTAGTTTTACCTTTTTATTTTGATATAAAAAAAATACTATCTCTGTCAAATCACAAAACCTCCAGCAGTTCCCTCATAAATCCTCAGGTTCTTTTGTTCATGAACACACATGAAGTGTAATTATGCGCAACCATTCAGGAATGTAACCACCATTTTTTGACCATTCTACATTTATACACTAATTTGGGAGGCATAAACAATGTAGAAGTAGGTTTGATACTTTTTAAGACTTTGCATTCTAATTCATATACTGTTAAAAGCACAGTGGTGTAAAGTATTTGAGTAAATGTAATCAGTTACTGTTTTCAGTATCTTTTGGGTTACTTTGTAGAATTACTCTCTACTTGACTATATTTTTGAATTTTATATATATATATATATATTTATTTATTTAATGAGGCTCTGGTTTGTTTTACTGAAATGCAATAAAATAAGGGACCAGTAAGTGCATTAATGCTATCAAGAAAATCAGTGCACTGGCCATTCAAAACAAATACAAGCAATCTCAATAATACAGTACTACTGTTATCTGCTATAGACGTGTGTGATAAGAGTCACAAAGGTTCATCTAAAATGATTATTAAGGCACAGCAGTGATCATAATTGCATTGGGAATACTGTCCACATTTATTGGATATGCACTGTAGAAAAGTCTCATTATGACTGATTATTTAGACAGATTGTCATTTTTATACCACCCGATAACCTACAGGATTTATATTATAACATTCTTTGCTGTTGTTAAAAAAAATACTTTACTCAATCTCCAATTTAGAATCTAGTACCTCAAACATCAAGAAAATCAAAGCAATACCAAGTCTACAATTATAACTTATTACAATATATATTTAGATATGTGTGCTGGCCTCATTGGCATTTACTTTGCTGGCTGGTGTGAAACTGAAGTAAGATACACCACGCAATTTTTATTAAAGGTTTAGTTCACACAAAAAAAACCTCACCCTCATGTTGTTCCAAACCTGTATTTCTTTCTTTTTGCATGTGAAATGAAAGTTATTTATCACCAAAATCTGTTTGGTTACCAACATTCTTCAGATATCTTCTTTTTTAGTTTCACAGAAAAACAAAACAAAAGAAAAACATACAGGTTCAGAACCATATGAAGGAGAAAAAAAAGATGGCAGAATTTTAACTTTTTGGTGAAATACCCCTTTAACAAAAAACATATTTCAAAATACATTCAAGAATATTAAAGGCACCGAAAGATGCCAACCGATGGCAACACTTAGTCAGGTGTTGTCAGAGAAGTGTGTTACCCCTGTCGCCACCTGTTGGCATTGGTTGGCACTTATTTTCACCAGTTGAACAAGTTCAATCGTTGTTTGTCAGGTCGTGGAACATCTTAGAAGTGACATACTGTAATCTGGTGATTGTCCGCACAGTTTGGCATCGGTCATGAAAGCATGATCATGATAACTTTAACACATCTGATTAGCTGATAGGAATGTTACAGAACCAAAAAATATTGATCCAGGCACGTGCAGTGAGCTATGGAAGCTTGTTTCTGCCACTGAATAAAAATAAATAAATAATTAATTGCGACTTTTTATCAAAATTGCGAGATTGACAGAATTGTGAGAAATAAAGTCGCAATTGCGAGATATAAAGTCAGAACTGCGAGATATAAAATTGCAATTGCGTGTTATAAAGTCAGAATTGCGAGATATAAAGTCAAAATTGCGAGATATAAAGTCAGAATTGCGAGATATAAAGTCAGAATTGCGAGATATAAAGTTGCAATTGCGTGTTATAAAGTCAAAATTGCGAGATATAGTCAGAATTGCTAGATATAAAGTCAGAATTGCGAGATATAAAGTCGCAATTGTGAGATATAAAGTCAAAATTGCGATATAAAGTTGTAATTGCGTGTGATTAAGTCAGAATTGCGAGATATAAAGTCAGAATTGCGAGATATAAAGTTGCAATTGCATGTTATAAATTCAAAATTGCGAGATAAAGTCAGAATTGCGAGATATAAAGTCAGAATTGCGACTTTTTATCTCACAATTCTGACTTTTTTCTCACAATTGCAAGTTTACATCTTGCAATTCTGACTTTATATCACATAATTGCGAGTTTATATGTCGAAATTCTGACATCTTTTCTCAGAATTGTGAGATATAAACTTGCAATTGCGAGTTATCAGGCTAATTCTAAGGGGGAAAAAAAATAATACTTTTTCCCCCCTCAGAATAGTTTAAATCTCACAATTCTGACTTTATATCATGTATTTCTGACTTTATAACACGCAATTCTGACTTTACACCTCGCAATTATGAGAAATAAAGTCAGAATTGCGAGATGTAAATTCTGAGAAAAAAAGATCACAATTACTTTTATTTTTCATTCTGTGGCGGAAACAAGCTTCCATAGTTAGCTTATAGCTACATGTTCTTTCTTACATAAACCATGTCATCAGAAAATGCCCTTGTTTCCATCATTGCAGTAACGTAAACCTAACCATTCCTATTCTTTACTTAGTCTTCCCCCTGTCGTCGACCAATCTTTTGACTTTCTCCAACATAAACAAGGCTATTAGAGCAGACATGACAAATGTTAGAATAAAGAGGGAAAAGAAGAGCGCTGCCTCGCCGTCAGCATGGAGATTCACATAGAAGTCTCTGCGGTTCATGTAGTCCAAAAATGAGGCGTGGATCTGGCAGAATGTGCACAGAGCGAGCAGTACATGAAACAATTGATGACCCTGACCTAAGAAGTCACACTGACCTGGGAACCAGCGTTCTGGAACAGGCTGAGTGAAGAAAAAAGCACTGGAAAGAAAGAACGCCACTTGGCCAAAGTGAAAGAGCAAAGCAGGGCTGGATCTGGACCACGAAGTAGAGCAGGTGATAATAAAACGATGGAAAACGGGACTGGTGTCCCAACTGTAGGCTACGGCCGAAGGCACCACTTGGCCTATTTTACGAACCCACGGAGGAAGGCTGTAATTGCGATACTTCCCGTAACAGCAGCCGAAGCAAGACAGGCAACACAAGATGCTGGCAATAGGCATGAAAACTCCTCGGACACACGCATGCCAGCTTTCCTCGATAGCGTAGTAGTAGTGCGCCACCGCGCTTCCATACTGATACAGCGACACACCAACGTAATCCAGGTAAAAGAAGGCATAATGGCAGAGTTCTGATTTTCCGGCCAACAGGTGGGCCACGGCGCTAAAGCTCATGTAGACTGTTGACGACAAGAGAAGGATGAGAAGTGGCCAGGAATGAGGATCGTTCACGAAATCTACGGTCTCCGATAACTGGACGGTTTTTACGAGGACCGCTAGCGCTCCGACTAGGTGCGTCCAAACATTTACAGTCTCGTTGTGCCGCTGTAAGAGCGACCGGAAGTAGAAGCGCCAGTTCTGGTGGAGCGCCCTGTAGCCGGAGTGAACGAAGCGCTCGCGGAAGAACTGTGGCACCTCCGTGTCGCACAGGGTGTCGGTCTTGGAAGGCAGGGCCTCGGAGAGCATCTGGGGAACTCGCCTCAACTGCTGCAGATTAATGAAGAGTCGGCCAATCTGCTCCATAACGATTGTTGCCACGGTGATCTCTGGAGTACCGGGGAATAGAAATTTACATCCCAGAATAGTCCAAACCAGAACCGACGACACACTGGCGTATCTGGGGTTTAAAAAAACATTATCATTAGAGCCCGACCGATAAAGGATTATGAAGGCCGATATCGATACAAATATTTTTTTGGGTTTTAAAATCCGATATATCGGTTTTTCGAAACGCGCTTAACAAGAGTTCCTTAACATAAGTTATTTGTAGTTGCAGTAGGAATGTTGTTACAGAACCGAAAAAATATTGATCCAGGCACGTGCAGTGAGCTATGGAAGCTTGTTTCTGCCACTGAATAAAAATAAATAAATAATTCATTGCGACTTTTTATCAAAATTGCGAGATATGAAGTCAGAATTGTGAGAAATAAAGTCGCAATTGCGAGATATAAAGTCATAATTGTGTGTTATAAAGTCAGAATTGCGAGATATAAAGTCAGAATTGCGAGATATAAAGTCAAAATTGCGAGATAAAGTCAGAATTGCGAGATATAAAGTCAAAATTGCGAGATATAAAGTCAGAATTGCGTGATATAAAGTCAGAATTGCGAGATATAAAGTCAGAATTGCGAGATATAAAGTCAAAATTGCGAGATATAAAGTCAAAATTGCGAGTTATAAAGTCAAAATTGCGAGATAAAGTCAGAATTGCGAGATATAAAGTCAAAATTGCGAGATATAAAGTCAGAATTGCGAGTTATAAAGTCAAAATTGCGAGATAAAGTCGCAATTCTGGAAAAAAACAGAATTGCCACTTTTTATCTCACAATTCTGACTTTTTTCTCACAACTGCGAGTTTACATCTTGCAATTCTGACTTTATAACACATAATTGTGAGTTTACGTCGAAATTCTGACATCTTTTCTCAGAATTGTGAGATATAAACTTGCAATTGCGAGTTATCAGGCCAATTATAAGGGAAAAAAATACTAACCCCCCCCGCCTCAGAAGTTTAAATCTCACAATTCTGACTTTATATCTCGCAATTGCGACTTTATATCTCATAATTCTGACTTTATATCTCGCAATTGCGACTTTATATCTCATAATTCTGACTTTATATCTCACAATTCTGACTTTATATCTCGCAATTGCGACTTTATATCTCATAATTCTGACTTTATATCTCGCAATTCTGACTTTATATCTCGTAATTGCGACTTTAAATCTCATAATTCTGACTTTACACCTCGCAATTATGAGATATAAAGTCAGAATTGCGAGATATAAAGTCGAAATTGCGTGTTATAAAGTCAAAATTGCGAGATATAAAGTCAGAATTGCGAGATATAAAGTCAGAATTGCGAGATATTTATGAGTTTTGACTAAAATATTATGATCATGCATTTTAAAAAGAAACTCTTCTTTATTGTCGCAACAGAACAGACTGATGATAGTGGCATTAGCTAGCTTTTTGATTAGCTAGTCTATGATGAGCCATAATTTAGCAATGGATAACGTCATACTGCAAATTAATTGTAAAACATACATTTTCAATATAACAGGCCGAGGAGAGATGATACGTCTCATTGCTATAACTGTCACGCACTATTAAAGAAATACTTCAGTCACGTTGTCAAAAGTTAAAAGTCGGTCGACTACACTGTAACAACGTAACGTAATTATTACTAGCTAATTCCGCTTCACTCTCGGCTTATTTAACAGCAGCAAAACTGGGCATGATAGTCACAAATTTTGTCCTGCTTATTTGAGTTAAGAGAACTGATGGGGATGTTCTTTTAATTGATATTCAAGCGATGTATGTCTCGTGACCAACTCAACGAGTGTAGAGTGCCCTCTGGTGGACAAACTATACAACTGCAACACTCATGACATGGTTCAAGCGTGTTTTGGTCCGTTTTTATTTTTTAAATATTCATTTATCGGCCATTATAACTGCCGATACCGATAGTTTGAAAAATGCCTAATATCGGCCGATATATCGGTCTGGCTCTAATTATCATAATTTACAGAAAAATAACATGAAATAAACACTGGTCCTCTGAACTCCTCAACCTCTCCCAGCTCCACCCATCTAGATCTGCTATGGGATTTTTATTATTATCCGTGTATCTAATGGCAGAACATCTGCAGCCTGCATGGTAGATAGTCCACCAAGACCAAATATATTAACACTGTTAGATCCCTTAACTTGATAAAAATATTTTGAAAGAAGTCATGGTGAAATAAAGGCACACAGGAAACCACAATTGTGACACCCAAACCCTCTCAGTTTCTATAGTCGAAGAGCTAAGGGGTTTGGTGAAAGGAAACATCTCATAGAGTTTAAAGCTCTTATTATGAGTAAGTGACGTTTTAAATTCATCCATAACGCCGTTTGCTCACCATCAAGTTGTTCAGAACAAAACAAGAGGAAGTTTGTTAAGGCTAATTATTTCTATAAAATAAAATCATAGTCTGTTAAGCAGTGAAAAGATAGCACATTTGATTTGAGTACTTTATGTCAACATTGTAACAATTTTGACTCACAACACAAAATTGTATTTATCAAAAACATTTTAATCTGGAAAAACTCTAAAAATTTCACGCACACACAGTTTATGTGCAGTATTGTAGCAACTTTACAGAACCCATTGATTTACATAAGAGTCTGTGATTAAATTGCAGTAAATAGTATTAAACCTAAAAGAAAACTAAAATGAATAATAAGTCTACAAGTCTGTACATGTCCAGCTCCTAAATAAAATCCTAAAGTGAAAAAAACAACATTTGGCAGTAAATGGTATTTCCATAACGAATAGATAAGACCTGGCGGCATTAGCAACAGGTAGTCAACAAAACTGACCAGAGTCTCTTCATTTTAATGGAAATCATTTAATAGGCTATAATCGTGGTGGTAATTCCAGCATTTCGTTCATGTGCGGAAAAAGAGGCCGAATTTACTGTCACAAACGGTGTGTTATATTATTAGGCTATGTCCTAAATGTTCTAAATCTTCTCTCGGTGAGTGTAACGTTAATCACAAACAATCGCACAGCACCTCCTAACACGAACAGAGAATAGAAAAGCGCAGATGAATGTATGTATTTACCTTCTTAGGTGTCTTCCGCAAATCTGGCACCGCAAATAATTTTCCGAGTGGATGGATATTAAGAGACTGTTTTCTTCCTCATATATTTCTCACTGGCCACGCCTTTGTGTCGACGGCGCTGCGAGATATGCGACGGAACAAACCCCTTTTAGTCAGAAAACATGTTTCTTGACATTGCTGTGATAATCTGTCCTGAAACGATTGTTTTGATGACACATAATATAAAAAATAAAAATAAAACAATAAAAAAAACCGTAAGTTAGCATTGCAGAGTAGATTGTTGTTTATTTAGGCTGCTGTCCCATTCTGTGCTCTAGTTTTAGTAGGCCTGTCTCTTCAGAAGATCAATTCAAAGTTTAGGGAGAGCGGGGCGCAACGTAAGATTTTTTGACTTTGTCAATTTGTGTAAATCTACTTAGGGTTTAAAGTATTTTTCCCCCCACATAAATTTCCCACATGTCTAGTAGGCCTACAATTATGTGGTTTTGATTTTACGGTGTATACTTTTTTCTTGATTTACCCTGAAAGAATGGAAATGAAATGTGACAACATGCCCCATAGGTGGGGTATTTTTATTTATTTATTATTATTATTGATAACAATATCTGGTACAAACATTAAAAAACATCAATATACAATCAAGCAATTGTACAGACAATACCATACCAAAGACAAAGAACAAAAACAAGAAAAGAAACAAAAAAAACCCCAAAAACAACAACGTAAATGAAAGAGGAAAAATAATAAGGATATTAAGAGGAATTGGGGAATAGGTCGAGATAAAAGTTTTCTATTCTTCTTGTTCTTTACAAGTTTGTGTGATTTAATAAATATATTAAGTTCCAAAATAAAATGCTTAAAACATGGAAGACTTATTAAATTTCTGCTTGTGTATAAAGAACTTAGCATATAAGATTATAAAGTTTAAGACAAACTCCAGGGTGCCATCTTGTGGGAAACAAGAGTAGCAGATAATATCTTTCAGGGTGCCATAGGTGGGGTACATTGTAACATGTGAGGGGCACAGTGACATCATCATATGACAGCTTAAAATGCTATGATCTAATCAAAAACATAAGTCAAACCAAAATATGTTCTAAATAAAATACAATTATTAACTTTTTCATATAAAATAATGGCATTTTTTAATAATTAAAAATATACTACTTTTTGAGTTTGACAACAAACACACCGGAAAACACAGCTATACAGCATAGTTTAAAACAAAATAATAATTAATAATTTTTTGAACATTGACTATCAGCCTTTATTTACATGTTTCTCTTCTTTTCTCAAAAGAATTCATAAAAGTATAGAATATAATAGCATATTTCTAATAGAGGCACAACGTAACACTTTTTGACTTTGTTAATTTGTGTAAATCTACTTAGGGTTTAGAGTATTTTTTCCCCCACATTAATTTCCCACATGTCTAGAACTATTTTTTGTTTTATTAATACGGTGTATACTTTTTTTCTTGATTTACCCTGAAAGAATGGAAGTGAAAGGTGACAACATGCCCCATAGGTGGGGTACATTGTAACATGTGAGGGACACAGTGACATCATCATATGACAGCTTAAAATGCTATCTGATCTAATCAAAAACATATACAAGTCAAACCAAAAGATTTTCTTAATAAAATACAATTATTAACTTTTTTATATAAAATAATGGCATTTTTATAATAATTAAAAATATACATATTTTTCTAAATAATAATTAATAATTTCTGAACATTGACTCTCAGTCTTTATTTACATGTTTCTCTTGTTTTCTCAATAGAATTCATATTTCTAATAGGGGCACATTGTAACGCAGTGTGACAACATGCCCCGCCTCCACAACTGGGGTTTAAACCCTGCTAGTGTCTTCTGCTAGTTAGCGAAGCATTAAAGAACTATATCAACTGTTAAACAACAGATAGGAGATTAAAATAATATCAGATTTGTCTAATTTTTAAATAAACACAAAAAATAGAGGTGAAAAATTAACACCAGAGAACTTTTCAACCTTCATAATATATTTCCAAGTCTCTTGCGATGATACATCGACTTACAATAGGTTGAATGACGCGTCTGCCATAGCCAACCTCCTCCTACAGTGTTGTTCAGGGCTATCAAGGTTGTCAACAAATGCGCATGCTGACAGAGTTTATGACAGAAGTAGAGGACAATACTGTTTCCCACCTGTAGGGGGACCCCCGAGAACATAAACTCCCTGGTGTTACTTTAAACGAAAAGGGAGGCAGTTTTCCCACAAGCTGGAAAGTCTTATTCAAATAAATCCACTCTATAGTGTGTTTGATGGATATTGTTATTTTTGGACCTGATTTTGTGAATGTGTGCAGTCTAAGCAGGTCTATTATAAGTCAAACATGAAATCAAGCATTTCTTAAAGCAACACTAAGTAATATTTTTTCCCCTGACTTTGCATATCATGATTTGGATCCTAAATACCTCAAGAAAAGAATCAAGTATATTTTGCTGGTTATTGAAGTCAATCCTGGCTTAAAGCTAGAGAACGGCGTGTGCTCAGCCATGCAGAATGCTTACAGAAATACTTCTCTTTGCTTTGGTTCAACTCAATTATTTATAATACAAATTTGAGTATATTTGCCTCTTAAAACATTTCTGTCATTTTCCTAATGAAGACTTTTCATTGATCTTTTGAATTGAAAGTCTTTTAACATATTGAGATCAAAGCTTCTTCCACAGTCCAGAAAATAGACCACATATAGACCACAATATAAATAGATCTTTATATAGACCACAAATGTATGATTTATATGTAAAAATGAATGATTTAAAGGTTTAGTATTTAAAGATTTATTTGCTTTTTAATTTTTCCTGCTAGTGATTTTGTACCGTCAAGGAAAGGGAAGCTTTAATTTCTCCCTCCTGGCGTTGAAGGAACGACTGAATGTTTTATTGAGGTGCTTATGAGTGTATGTATGCCGTATGATTTATTTTGTTGCGGTCTCAATGACATGTAAGTGGCCCCTGGGTCTCACCAGCCAACAGAAACAATTTAACAGACAGTAATGATATACTCATCATCATATGCGGACACTGACAGACCCTCTCAAGAGCTCAGATGACTGCACTGCATCTCTCTCTCTCTCTCTCTCACACACACACATACAGTAAAAATAGATTTTTCTAATCGACTAATCATAAATACTGGAGTGAAAGTGGTGTATGGAGAAAGACAGACTTTATTGATCCAAAAGGAGAAATTCAGATGCAAAATGACCAACATCAAAATCCATAAAAAAACTACGGAGGCGTATTGCATTTACTTGAAGAAAAAAAATCTACTCTGTTTTTCTGAATTAACGAGTTAATTTTTCATGTGAAAATTTTTTTTTGCTCTGTTTTTCTGAATTAATGAGTTAATTTTTCATGAGAAAAAAAGCTTTTGCTCTGTTTTTCTAAATTAACGAGTTAATTTTTCATGAGAAAAAAGTTTTTGCTCTGTTTTTCTGAATTGACGAGTTAATTTTTCATGAGAAAAAAAGTTTTTCTCTGTTTTTCTGAATTGACGAGTTAATTTTTCATGAGAAAAAAAGTTTTTGCTCTGTTTTGCTGAATTAATGAGTTAATTTTTCATGAGAAAAAAAGTGTTTGCTCTGTTTTTCTGAATTAACGAGTTAATTTTTCATGAGAAAAAAAATGTTGCTCTGTTTTTCTGAATTGACGAGTTAATTTTTCATGAGAAAAAAGTTTTTGCTCTGTTTTTCTGAATTAATGAGTTAATTTTTCATGAGAAAAAAAGTTTTTGCTCTGTTTTCTGAGTTAATTTTTCTGTTTTTCTGAATTAACGGGTTAATTTGGAAAAACAGAGCAAAAACTTTTTTTTCTCATGAAAAATTAACTCGTTAATTCAGAAAAACAGAGCAAAAAAAAAAAATTCTCATGAAAAATTAACTCGTTAATTCAGAAAAACAGAGCAAAAACTTTTTTCCATGAAAAATTATCTCGTAATTCATAAAAACAGAGTAGATTTTTTTTCTTCAAGTGAATGCAATACGCAGAAAATGTATTCAGGCTGGATACAAGCCAACAAGAGATGGCTATAATGTCACATTTTGACAGACTACATAGATACTAAACTTACAGAATCACACATCCAAATTATATGCATCCTCACCTCAAACAGTATGTTAACTATAATTTATCATATTAAACCAAATGAACTAGAATCAAAATCTTCTAATACTTTGCAAGAGATTAATCGAGAAATAACCAATTCTCTACAAATTAGAGCCCGACTGATAAAGGATTTTGAAGGTCGATACTGATACAAATATTTTTGGGTTTTAAAATCCGATATTCCGATATATCGGCCGATATTTTTTTTTTCATTAAATATTGTTGGATTTCACACACGTGTAAAAGAAAAGCTCAATTTTCTGCACAAGATACAATTGATACTTTTTCTCTATGTCTAAATGTTCACTCCTCGCAAGTATAACTTACATTTTACAATGCAGGGACTGTAACTAGAGATATGCGAGTTATAAATACAGTAATCATTACTTTATTTAGGCAGAAAAAGTTCATTGTGGTTTCCAAGCTCATTAATGTTAACATTAGCGTTAGTCTTCCACTGATGATAGTGGCATTAGCTTTGTGGTTAGTCTATGATGAGCCATAATTTAACAATAGATAACATCATACTGCAAATTGTAAAAACATACATTTTCAATATAACAGGCCTGGAGAGATGATTGAAGCATGTTTCGTCCGTTTTTATTTTATTTTTTTAATATTAATTTATCGGCCATTATAACTGCCGATACCGATATTATGAAAAATGCCTAATATCGGCCGATAATATCGGTCTGGCTCTTTTACTTCATGCTCGTGTCTGACTCCTCGCTCAGTCTGCCGATTCCTCTTTCTCTGCTCCTCCGACAATACTTTCCTAGCTTTCTGCTTCTTGGATGCCGGCTTATAGGCAATATGACTACATTTCAAATCAATAAACATAGAAACAAATCCTAAACAGATGTGACAGTGTGTAAATAAATGAAGTGAGTGTTGCTAGTGACACTGGAAGAATGTGTCCATGCAGAAAGTGTCCTTGTACAATGTCAGATACTCCTCACTGTGAGAACCTGCAGGGGTAACGTGGGCAGACGACACATGAGGAGACATTATTCTGTTTGATGGCAACTGTAGAGAAATAAACCACGGTGTGGAGGAGGTGGTGTCTTACAAAGTCGTTTCAGGTTTAATTTAAAAAAAGGAACTATCCATCGTTATACAAGCATATCTGTTCCAAAACCTGGTGAACTGCCTACCTATAGACAGAATTTGGGGATTGCACACACATTAGACAACAAGACAGCTCACTGGGTTTTGCAATCGAGCTTGACAACACTCACCTAAGTATGAAGAATAGAGATTTCCAATCCCATTACTGAACCTCTCCGTGTTTGCCTCACACTGAACTCACTGGAATCTGCTCAGTTATGGAGTGATGAAGAAGTGCAGAAATACCATCTTTATCTTCTTTTGTTCTTTCTTATAAATCCATGTTTGGTTTTAATATGCAGGCTAGTGGTCAAGGGCACATTTTGAAGTGGATTCACATTAAGTGAGTGTAAATAATTTTGGTTTGGATTGTGCATTGATTGACTTGGTAACATTTATGTTATTGTGTCCTAGTGACACGTTACATTTAGTTACTGTAGTTATTGCAATAAACTGTGCATATTTACCTGGAACTACCCCCAAACCATTTTGGCATCTCGCGCTAGTCATCCACTCAAAACGTAACGCTACGTCAGTTTTCAAAACTTTTGGATGTCAAAAAGTTTCTAATGGCCGCACTGGTAATCGTCACAAGTGGCAAAAGTTGAACTATTTTGAATTTTGACCGAGGTGGGCGTCCTCGTGCGACGCAGCATGCCGCGTCCTGTTGCAAAAGCATGTGAGAAAAAACCTACAAAGTTTGCTAGGCCAAGAAGACCATTAATCGAAACATTCGAAACATAATCGAAACATCGTAACATTTCGACTTTAATCTAAAAATATTTTGAATTTAATTTCGAAACATTTCGACTTTAATCTCGAAACATTTCGAATTTAATCTCGAAACATTTCGACTTTCATCTCGAAACATTTCGTCTTTCATCTCAAAACATTTCGACCTTAATCTCGTAACATTTCGACTTTAATCTCAAAACATTTAGACTTTAATCTAAAAATATTTTGAATTTAATTTCGAAACATTTCGACTTTCATCTCGAAACATTTCGACTTTAATCTCGAAACGTTTCGAATTTAATCTCGAAACATTTCGACTTTAATCTCGAAACATTTCGTCTTTCATCTCGAAACACTTCGACTTTAATCTCGTAACATTTCGAATTTAATCTCGAAACATTTCGACTTCAATCTAAAAATATTTTGAATTTAATTTCGAAACATTTCGACTTTCATCTCGAAACATTTCGACTTTAATCTCGAAACGTTTCGAATTTAATCTCGAAACATTTCGTCTTTCATCTCGAAACACTTCGACTTTAATCTCGTAACATTTCGAATTTAATCTCGAAACATTTCGACTTCAATCTCGAAACATTTCGACTTCAATCTCGAAACATTTCGAATTTAATCTCGTAACATTTCGACTTTAATCTCGAAACATTTCGACTTTAATCTCGAAACATTTCGAATTTAATCTCGTAACGTTTCGACTTTAATCTCGTAACGTTTCGACTTTAATCTCGAAACGTTTCGACTTTAATCTCGAAACGTTTCGACTTTAATCTCGAAACATTTCGAATTTAATCTCGTAACGTTTCGACTTTAATCTCGAAACGTTTCGACTTTAATCTCGAAACGTTTCGACTTTAATCTCGAAACGTTCATCTAGCACCGTTTGTTCCATGGACAATAATACCTCAATTGAAACAGCTAGTTCTAGAAGTGTGCTATCACTTTTCTAAATGATCAGCTATTTATTGACTTTGGCCTCATATTATATTACGCTTGGCTTGTCAATGTTTTATGAAAGCAAATGCTTTATGATCTCTCTGCAAGCAATGTCTCACACTTTAAACTTAATGGATTCATAGTTATTATATACTATGAATGGATTCATAGTATATAATAAAAAAAATAAAAATAAATGGTTTGTTCAAAAAGAGTTTACAGTTTGAATGTTCTTGTTTGCTTGTAAAAGTCACACACAATGATATTCAAACTAAAATAAAAGCCTTTTAAAAGTATGTAACGCACATCATCATTGTCATTGGACACACTGTTTGTAGTTCCATCAGTGATGTTGCAGAAATAGAAACCAGTCCAAAAATAAAATCCCTCGTCACACATCACATTTCACCTTCACAGCTGGTTAAGCCAAACCTCTGATTAACATGGAAAAGATAGCTTTTATCGTGATAATAATAGCATCCAGTGATGTTTGGGGTTATTTTAGGTACTTTGTTTTGCATCATGTAAACTGTAAAGAAGGGCTTATATTCCTTTATCACAACCTTTCTATAACATCGTAATGGAGCTGTAACAGACATCCAGCTGTGGTTGAGGACACACAGACAGCTCAGAGTCATTGCAATCTGGTTAAGGTGCTTTTCATGAAGGGCTTTGTGGTGCCATTACTCAATAGGCTCAGCGGGTCTTGATCTGCCTCACTGCCTTAAGGTGACTTCTCCTAAAGCACTGAATCTTGGCACATAATGATGACATCACAGACCTCAACACTTGCTCCCATGTGTGTCATTAACCTCTCTCCAGACATGCGACTTCTAATGTACTGTATTTTTCTAGAGACACAGATGTTATAACATTGGAGTGCATCTGTGGCCTGTGGGCAGAAGTGCACTGAGGCTGCCAGCATTGTTTCCAGGTTTGATAGATCACATCATTAACGCTGATGTAACTGTGTGCACTGACATAGCAAAGACACTGACATAGCTTTTTTTGGGGGGGCATTTATATTATATTTCATTATTTTCATCTCTTCTAGTATTTTTATTCTTGTACTGCATTTTATCAAAAAGCCCTTATTGTTTTGTATTGCTCATGTATTGTATTGCATGTATTGCATTTTACTAAAAAAGCCCTTCTAGGGACTAATGTTGTAAATTAGCTTTGGCTAAAAACATTGATACATGCATCAGATCACTGTCAAAGTGTATCTATGTTATCTGTATCTGTCCCTATCTAAATAAACTATAATAATAATAATAATAAAAGTCATGATTACAGTTTAGTGTTATGCTGGATCTAGCTTTACATACAGTATATACTCTTAAAAGTAAAGGTTTCTTTAGATTCAGGCTCAAATTAATAAGGTAGTACCTGTCATTACTGCTTTGGGAGCTGACGTTCCAAATATGGTAAGGGGGCGTGACATTTCTGGGCTAATCACAATGCACTGGATTGCTGGCCAATCAGAGCACGTCGCACTTTTTTCAGGCCAATGAGCTTCGTAAAAATCAACATGTTTCAGAAAGGCAGGGCAGAGGAGCAACAGTATGTACACACTCTTAGAAAAAAAGGGTTATATGTAGCATAGGGTTCTTTATTCAGCTCCAAAGGACATTTTTATGCTAAAAAAGTTTCAATAATGACAAGAAAGAACACTTTTGGCACAAAGGTTCGTTAAAGGCTATTATTCATTCATATATTACATTATTCTGCAACATTTTGTAGTTGTTATTAAATTATTGTTTATTAAACTGTTGTACTGTAACTTAATATCACATTTTAATCATGCTGATTTTTGGAGGATACAAACTGAAATGGCACTCTTCGTGTGATATTGATTAATTACATTTTTTAACCACCATATTTTGTGATCATTCACATGCATTGCATTTTAGGGGTTCCAAATACGTAGCGCTTTAGAACCTTTTAAGGTTCTATATAGAACCTTTTCTTCTAAGAGTGTAAAATAATGACTCTTTTTAACCTAAAATCACTTAAACAAATTGTATTAAACCAAATAATGTTATTTTTAGAAGCATCATATGACAAAAATTCCTCACGCCAAGAACAAAAAGGGTTCTTTAATGGCATCACATTTGGAATGTGAAATTTGCTACATTGTCCTTAATTTATTCAGATAAAAAACAAGGTTATACCAAGATTATAAGTAACAAGTGTAATTATGCCAGGGTGCCGGTTAAGGGATGAGATGAGCACTCAATTGTCAAGTTTTTTTTTAAACAAAACAACAAAAAATTCCCCCTGGGGTGAAAAAACGTGACTGACAAACAGAAATGGACAGGAACGGAACAGGCAAGGCACACTGTCAACAAACAACAGCAAACATTAGACAACAAACTGGCACAGGACTGCAAAGTCAAGGAGAAATATAGCTGCAAGCAACCATTATCAGGGCCAAGACATGCCACCATGGCTGGGAGTATCAGACCAACTGCAGCAAGGAGCAATTAAAGACATTTAAAGATGAATTTTAGCAAAATGGCTGAAAAATTATACATACAGTAGCTTGTAAATTTTTTTTAATGGTTTATCACTTTCAACCAATAGGTGGTGCAGCTACAAAATTGATGTAATGTGGTCAGAGTGGTAAGACCAGTGTCATTAGAATAGGCAAATGTATTCAAAGGTAATTAGCATTTTTTTTTTACCACAGGGTGGCCCTGCCCTGAAACTTTTTAAGTACCTTCAAGGCATGGTGCCGACCAGTGTTGGGTAAGTTACTCTAAAAAAGTAATTAATTACCTCTTCAACAGTGTAATTAGATTACTGTACTAATTACTCTCCTTAAAAAGTATTTAATTACTTTTAATTACTAATTACTTTCAAAATCCCATATCACTCTCAACCAGCTGAATAATACAAGGATAGACATGAATCTGTTTTAATTCTTTCAAGTAAATACTATAAAATTGCATGACTTATCCTTAAACTGACCAAGGTGGAGAAGGTTACATTATAAAAACATACTTTTTAACATCAGACAATATATTTTGATGTTAAACCCACTATTGTTTTATGTCTGATCTCATGACATTTCACACTTTTTTTCATACATATTTTACAATAATTAGACACCTCTCATAAAATGCATATGAATCGCTGTGAGATCGGATTGATCTATACACAGTATTTACCGCAATTACATCAGAAGTAACTGTATTTAAATTACAGATAAATGAAGAGTAATCCCATTTTCAAGGGAAAAGTAATTAAATTACAGTAACTAATTACTTAGTAATTAGCTACACCCAACACTGGTGCCGACAAATCACACCGAGTTTCGTAACAATTTGCTAATGCCTTCATAAAGTATAGCAACAATACTGTATTGAAGTTTATTCCAAGATCCACCCATTCACAGGGGACCTGCACTGGTTGAAATAGCTTAAATCTGTGGATTTAAACATTGTTGGAAAATTTTGTGATAATGCAAGTACACAAGTCAACAAAATATATTACATTCTAGCGTTTTTTGGATATTTTAATCCAAAAATCTTACAAATTGTGCCTTTAACTAACATTAACATTAAAGATTTTCACAAATGTTCCCTCAAAGTTTCAAAAAAAAAGTTGGTTCCTATGAAGCCATTGTATACACAGCAACACACATCGACAGCCACACTTAGTCATGTGCATATACATGGTGTGTTTGTGTGACATCTGTGACCCAGACGCCCCCTAAACCATCATGTCGCATCTGTTGCTAAAAAGACATCCAGATATGTGCATCCACCATGCTCAATACCCAGAAAGCTGTGCAGGAAAAGCAGCCAAGTCCAGAGAGTCTGTAAGGTCCTCATGTTCCATTTTCGGATTGTTTGTTTTTCGATTTATGAATATTTATTGACTTTTGTTTTTGAGTGTTTGTTTGGGTTTGGTCTGAGTTTTCTTTAGTCTTTATTTGAATGTGTGTATGTGCATATGCACCTCCTCACCCCTCGCTGCGCAGTTCCTGTACACATTGGCAGTGTTCTGCAGCAGATTGTTAGTATTATCGTCCACGCAGACCTTCGCCAACAGTAGTGGCGTTTATTTTTATCTCAGCTCTCTCTCCTTCGTCTCATTCCAAACCTTTTTCTGCTTTGTATGCTATTTCGTTTCTTACTGATTGCATCATGCGGCTATAGGCAGGGGGTGAATTTACTGAACAGTTGCGCCAATTTTCTGCATGGTTTTTAGAGCAAAACTGGGGTCTTATTCACTAACATCAGCAAGAATAACAAGCAACTGTGAGTTCTGGTATAAAACTGAGACTTAAGTATTTAAATTTGTCATAATTTTTAGAGTAAACACTGCTAATATTTAAAATAGGTGTATTATAGACACCTTTTGTTGATCTTTCTGTACACTGTAAAAAATATTGATGGTTTAACTTAAAAAAGTAAGTAACCTGGTTGCCTTAAAATTTTGAGTTAATACAATGAAGGAGATTAATTTAACCATCATAAACTCAAAATTATATGTTATCTGAACTAAATAAATTATTTAAGTTGATTTGACAAAAGCAAAATTGTTGTGATTACTACACTGTAAAAAAAATATCGTTGGTTTAACTTAAAAAAGTAAGTAACCTGGGTTGCCTTAATTTTAAGTTGATTGAACTGGAAAAAATGAGTTAATACAATGAAGGAGATTAATTTAATCATCAGAACTCAAAATAATAAGGAAAATACATTCGCAAATACTCTAACATTTTAGATGCAGTTGTATATTTCAGCATTTATGGGAAAGCAATGAGGGAGACAGGACCATGAGCATCAGAAAGTAGCATGAACTCGGGTCACCTGAATTGCAACCATGCCATGTGTCGTAGCACTTTTGCCTCAGACACAGAAATGTATGTTTAATATTGAAGGAAAACAACACATTCTTGTGAGATCTGGTACAATCACTGTAAAAAATTATCGTAATTTTAACGGTAAAAGACTGTAAAAATGCTACAGTGCAAAACGGTTAATTGGTTAACAGAAAGTTTCCGTACTATATTTTAACTTTAAATAACAAACAAACAAACAAACTTTAACAAAAGTTAACAAACTTTAAATTGATATAGTTTTACTGTAAAATACCGTTAAATTTACAGTTTTTGAAAGTGAAAAAAACTACTTGTATAATTTACAGTGAAAAAACGTAAATTGACATCGCAACAATTCCCTGCATCACTCTTCACATTTGATGTATTTTTGTTGAAATAACTATGTTTCCTCATTATTTTCCTAATCAGTTATGTACATTAGGGTTTTATGTTACATTTAATGAATGTTTATTGCATTTCACGTGTGTTACCATGATGGTGTTTAATGTTTGTGTGAACTAATGAGCTTTGATTGATCATGTGACTCATCACTACTGTGATGATTGTTGGTTGTCAGTGTATTACAATGGTACAAAACAGAAATCAATTTTTTAAAAGATTGGTATATCAACAGATTTCAGAAAATTAAACAAAAAACGGTTTATTACTGTAAATTTTAAGTTAAATCTGTAACACCATTTATGTTCGTACCGTATTTTTAACGGTAAAGTTCTGGCAACCACAGTTGGCATTTTTTTTACCGTAAAAATAACAGTTTTATTTTTTTACACTGTCAGACCATTTCAGAATTTCACACAAAACCAAATCTACTGACAAGTATCAGCCATTTGTGATTATGTGGATAAAATAATTTTTTTTTTTTTTTTTAATCATTCCAACTCTTTTTCTCTGTCCAAAACTTACCCAGCATTGCTGTTATTTTTTGGCAATTACATTGTCTATTATAGTCTGAGATTTAAAGTGAAACTAGAGTAGATTAATAAAGTGATGCCATCTGCCTAATGCCATCTGAACTAAAACATTAGGTTAATGAATAACACACATAGGTCATGGACCTAAACGAGTTCACCAAGGTAAATGAACCAATACAAGAGTCCATCTTTTTACAGTTGTTCTTCCTTTATAAAAGCGTTCACACTTGCAATCCATAGAAATCTGATTTGTGTTCTGAATCAGCAGTATATTCACTAGCTGTCAGCGCTCTGCTGTCTCCTGACTCAGAAAGTCTCTCGCGGGCTGGAAATTACAGTGTGCTTCATTCCTTTGATTAGCAGTAGCTGCAGGTTAAGCAGAACCAATTGAGACTCAACCGGATAGCAGATTTAGCTTTTCTCTTTCTGCTAAATTTGTCATACAGCTTAAAGCTCTTCAAAAAGTCTTCAAACTCTATCAATATGGTATGGTGGTTGATGCTCTCCCAAAAAAAAAAACACAGCTGTATGCACTCTCAGAAAAAAAGGTACAAAAGCTGTCACTGGGGCTGTACCTTTTCAAAAGTACCTAAAGGGTGCATATTGGTACCTTAATGGTACATATTAGCACCTAAAATGTACATATTAGCAATTAAAATGTCCATATTAGCACATAAAATGTACATATTAGCACCTTAAATGTACATATTAACACCTTAAATGTCCATATTAGCACCTTAAATGTCCATATTAGCACATAAAATGTACATATTAGCACCTTAAATGTACATATTAACACCTTAAATGTACATATTAGCACCTTAAATATACATATTAGCATCTAAAATGTACATATTAGCACCTGAAATGTACATATTAGCACTTAAAAATGTCCATATTAGCACCTGAAATGTACATATTAGCACTAAAAAATGTCCATATTAGCACCTTAAATGTACATATTAGCACCTTAAATATACATATTAGCACCTAAAATGTCCATATTAGCACCTTAAAGGTACAAATTAGCACCTAAATGTCCATATTAGGACCTTAAATGTACATATTTGCACCTAAAATGTCCATATTAGGACCTAAAATGTACAAAAGTTTTCCCTTTTGAAAAGGTACAGCCCCAGTGACGGCTTTTGTACCTTTTTTCTGAGAGTGTGGATGTAAACGAGTGATTGTGCAATGAGATGAGGTGGTTAAAGCTAAGGTTTGGTAACTGTAAAAATAGTAATTCTGTTTGTAAACAGGTCAGATGTTTAGTGGAGACTACCAGCCCTGGTTGTGGATGAATTAAATATATTTGGATTTACTAACAAGTCATCACATTTGGCACTTGTGTCCGTCATTGAGCTCATTAGGGATTATATGGAATGATAATTCCACAATGTGCACAGACCAGTGTGTAGAATTGATGGGATGATGCAGCTAAGGGATAATGATGATAATCCTTTCAAGATACACTCATTAATCTTTTAGTCTATCAGCCAGAACTGCAATCACATCTAGGCAAGGAAATAACTTCAAGGGAATCCATTAGCTTGTCCTGTGGGTTCAGTTGCCTTGTCAAGGATCATGTAACCATCTTATTTGAGGACTTTTTGAATCAAAATATTCAATTGCGATCGTTTTTTTTTCTCCGTCCTTTAATGGCCATTAATCACTCTTAGAAAAAAGGGTTCTATATATATGTAGCATAGGGTTCTTTACTCAACTCCAAAGGACATTTTATGCTAAAAAAGGTTCAATAATGACAAGAAAGAACACTTCAAAGGTTCTTTAAAGGCTATCATTCATTCATATATTACATTATTCTGCAACATTTTGTAGTTGTTATTAAATTATTGTTTATTAAACTATTGTAGTAACTAAATATCACATTTTAATCATGCAGATTTTTGGAAGATAAAACTGGTAAAAAATGAAGAATTTTTTTTTTAACCACCATATCTTGAATTTTGTGATCATTCACATGCATTGCATTTTAGGGGTTCCAAATACGTAGTGCTTTAGAACCTTTTAAGGTTCTATATAGAACCTTTTCTTCTAAGAGTGCACTCTTAGACGAAAAGGTTCTATATAGAACCTTAAAAGGTTCTATCAGCAGCGCTACGTATTTGGAACCCCTAAAAGGTTCTATACACTATTTAAAAAAGGGTTCCTCTGGGTTCTATATACCCTGGGGTTCTATACTTGGCCAATAGAACCTTTTACCAAAAAAATGGTTCTATATAGAACCATTTTGGAGTTCCATATATGAAGCGGGGGATGGAACCATTTCAAGGAGGGACCTGAAAAGAAAATGTAAAATAATCTAGTAAATATTGTTGCTACCTAAATCTGTTATTTTAATGAGAGGAAATCTGTTTGAAGCTGTGAATCCTCAGGGATGACTGATGGTTTCAGACAGTTGTGTGTAGCCTGTGTTCGTAGTAACAGTCACTTAGCGCTTTCAGCTTCACTTCATCAGCAGTGTCTTCTGAATTTGGCTTTTTTTCGCCTTGCGACGCAGGGTGAGTCAGTGAGTCTCTGGAGGGGAACTGAGCCTGTCCTCCGCCACGTACGGCTTTGAGCTTCAGGACTAAATGCCAAACTCAGCTCAGTTATGCAGGATTGGATGATGCCAGACAGCAATACGTATAATATGAGTTACATAAAACTTACTTCAGTGGGTTTTAGGACAATAAAGAGTTTCGGTAACGCTTCCTTTTACAGTACACTACTTACCTAGAAAGTACTGGCTAATAGGGCTGTGTAATAAATATCGATTTCTCGATATTAATCAATTCTCATTTTTACGAACCGATATCGATTCTTAAATCTCAAGAATCGATTAGTCATCCTGTTTCATTTGAATGAATGGATCATTGTGTCGCAATAATCTTTGTCCTTTGTTACTATTGATATGAAACAAAGTCTCAAATTTCAAATTACGTCCATTTTCTTTAGAAATTCAAAAACATAAATAGTGTTTTGTCGCTGTGGCGTGAGATCGCTCTGGAGAAGCAGCAGCGCTGATCTCTCTTCCGGCTTAATAATACCAGTCACAGCGCCAAATAAACATGAATGAGCATCTGAAAGTGTGTTAAAGATAGAGGACAACTTATCCAAATCCGGATCATGTCACATTGATTCACTCAATCAGCGTTTCAACCGTGGAAAGACGTCAGTTAAACAGCTTGTAATCAATGTCATCGTCACTTTTACCTCAGAAAACCCGCATAAACTCGTTAGTCCACACTCATTAGTGTTCTTCAATATTTAATGCATATTTTAATAAATCTAGCAAGTTTTTATGACAGCCACCATTTAAATGTTTATATTTCATATAATATTATTATAAAAATAAATAAAAGTGTAATTTAAGTGTTTGTATAGCAACAAAACACATTCATATTAGGCTAATGAAGCCTATAGGCTACAACTAGACTCCCATAGTTTACAGCATTAGTTAAGAGATTTGATTCCCTTGAGAAAAATTGCCATTTATTGTAACTGATATCCAAAATAATCGATATTGAATCGAATCGAATTGCAAGCTTGTGAATTGAAATCGAATCGAATTGTGAAATTTGTTACCCAGCCCTACTGGCTAATATAAGGTAAGTACATGGAACAGGGGTAGGTTTAGGGGTAGTTTCACAGTTAGTACTATAGGCTAGTCAGTGAGCTATGTGAACATCTAGTCAGCCTAAATAATCTAATTTAGCACCATGCCCACCACACACCAGACATCTTTACAAAGAAAACTAACAGAAGACATTCAATATTGCATAGTGCAGCACAACACTGCAGATTCGTTCAAATGATTTTAATTAGCACTTTAATCAGTCGAAATGGTCAGTCTGGCACTCGCCGTCGCCCAGTTGGCAGGGAGATTAAAGCCAGAGCTATGGTATACTCTCTGCCTTAATATCTGAAAACCTAAAAACATTTGTCTGCTATGGAAGGCAAGTAGGTGATGAATGGTAATTATGAGCTATCACTGTAGGATTGTCAAGAACTGCATTGTCAACACAATGTTTCTAAAGATGGAAAGGGTGGCATGGAAGTGTTGTATTTATGCAGCCCATGAAGCCGTATCCTCCAGTGCTTCAGGAGGCACATTTACACTTATAGCTGACATTATTCTTGTGTGAGACATAAACAGAGGCCTGATGCAGTCATTTAGCACAGGAGGCTAAACACATCATATTAATGTCAAACAGCCTATACCAGCAATTCCAGGTACTATCTGCAATAGGTGCTGGGGTTTTCATTTTTGTTTCTCATGGTGCTTTTCTAGTACACAGTGCCAGCTCGACTCGACTCGCCTTTGTTTGGTTTTCCACTGTGTAAAAGTTGTATTTTTTTTTTTGGTACCACCTCCGGCGAGGTTCTGAGCTAAGGCTGACTGAGGCGATACTAAAATGTGATGTGAAAACAATGCCGACTGCTGATTGGTCAGAGAGGATCGTATCCAGAATAACCCCGCCATTTTTAAATAGTTACTAAACTTGCTACTATTATCCAACGAGAGCTTGAAGGGGCAACGAAGAATGAAGGACGTCGCTACACTGTAAAAAAAAATATTGTTGGTTTAACTTAAAAAAAGTAAGTAACCTGGTTGCCTTAAAATTTTAAGTTGATTGAACTGAAAAAAGTGAGTTAAAACAATGAAGGAGATTGATTTAAATCATCAGAAACTCAAAATAATAAGTTATCTGAACTAAATAAATTATTTAAGTTGATCTGACAAAAGAAAAAAAATGTTGTGATAACAAATCTTGAAAATATTTTTTTTACACACTGTAAAAAAATATTGATGGTTTAACTTAAAAAAGTAAGTAACCTGGTTGCCTTAAAATTTTAAGTTCATTGAACTGGAACAAGTGAAGGAGATTAATTTAACCATCAGAAACTCAAAATGATATGTTATCTGAACTAAACAAATTATTAAGTTGATTTGACAAAAGAAAAAAATGTTGTGATAACTACACTGTAAATTTTTTTTGTTGATTTAACTTAAAAAAGTAAGTAACCTGGGTTGCCTTAAAATTTTAAGTTGATTGAACTGAAAAAAGTGAGTTAAAACAATGAAGGAGATTCATTTAATCATCAGAAACTCAAAATAATAAGTTATCGGAACTAAATAAATTATTTAAGTTGATTTGACAAAAGAAAATATGCTGTGATAACAAATCTTGAAAATATATATATATTTTTTTTTACAGTACGACCGGGTAGTATTTGTGGCAGGACTGTCTGCGATGAAAAACGGAGCGAAAAGCGAGCTGATTCGAGGAGATTTTTATAAAAATAAAAACTATAATTTATTTTTTAAATATATAGTTTATACTTACATTCAAAATACAATTTTCACAAGGATAATATTTTCTTTTGTAAATTTTAGGCCCAATAATGGTGTTGCTTACCCCAAAGATTCTTTAATGAATTTTTTTTGTAGTGGAATTAGCCAGAATAGTTTCCTTATTTCAGATGAAGGGCTGTTGAAAGTGTCCAGTCTTTATCTCTTGGCTTTAGCATGAAAAAAGGATTTAAAACAGACAATTGATTTACCTGCAACTTTGAGCATTACATCCCTTCAGCTACATTTTACATCCTTCAGAAATCCCCCTCTCTCTCTATCTTTGCACTTTTCACAAGGTGGGTCTACCTGCCACGAATGCCAAATAAGACTGCAAGATCTCAGAACTCCAGAGACAAATGCCATGGGAATCAGACAGGAGAGAGAGGTGTATAGGCCTTCAGTACAGGACGGGAAAGACTTCTTTGAAGACTTTTAATAGGCCACATTCTTCCCTGACTCAGACATTATTGTGTACGTCTTAACACACAGGTTAGTATTATATCTTTTTTTTAATAATCTACAGAAAATATCCTGAAAGTAATTTTAATTTTATATGCTTAAGGGCTATTCCTCAAATGCTTTATGTCGAATATAACTGCTGAAAAAGAATGCTCTCGCAAGGAATAGTGAAGGAGAAAGAGGTGGACCATTTTCTATGGGAAGAAAAGTGTTATCCTGGTTTGTCAAAGAAAATAATGTGAATATGCATAATCCACTATAAGTAGGGAATTATTAATAAATTTGAGCTGCAATTTGACGTGTCTGTTGTACAGAGCTGGGAACGGTATGGAAGTAAATGTTTTTGAAACAAAAGCATGTTGAAATTGCACCAACTGAAAAAAAAAAAAATATGCATTGCGCATTTTTATGCGCCGAAATTCAACATGGTTGAATATTTAAGCTGTGAATATTGCAATTAAAAACATTTCAAACAAATTTTCATTTTTACATTTTCATTATCCTGTGCGAATAGGGCTTTAGGGTATGTTTACACGACAACAATAAAGTGAGATGTTTTTCTTTTGAGTTTTCTGCCAAAAAGCCACATCATTTCAGGAAAGATATTTGTGTGACGAGTTGCAGGTGAAAATTTAAAATGGAGGGCTAACAGGCTGTTTAAATTAGAGCCAGACCGATATTATCGGCCGATATTAGACATTTTCCAAACTATCGGTATCGGCAGTTATAATGGCCGATAAATGAATATTTCAAAAATAAAATAAAAACGAAACACAAAACACACTTGAACCATGTCATGAGTGTTGGAGTTGTATAGTTTGTCCACCAGAGGGCACTCTACACTCGTTGAGTTGGTCACGAGACATACATCGCTTGAATATCAATTTAAAGAACATCTCCATCAGTTCTCTTAACTCAAATAAGCAGGACAAAATTTGTGACTATAACTCTCGTTAAATAAGCCGAGAGTGAAGCGGAATTAGCTAGTAATAATTACGTTACGTTGTTAGTGTAGTCGACGACTGTCCTTTTAACTTTTGACGATGTGACTGAAGTATTTCTTTAATAGCGCGTGACATTTATAACAATGAGACGCATCATCTCTCCTTGGCCTGTTTTATTGAAAATGTATGTTTTACAATTAATTTGCAATATGACGTAATCCATTGCTAAATTATGGCTCATCTAATGCCACTATCATCAGTCTGTTCTGTTGTGACAATATAAGAACAAGTTTCTTTTTAAAATGCATCATCATATTATTTTAGTTAAAACTCATAAATAACTACAAATAACTAATGTTAGGGAAATCTGTTAATGTTTTCTTAAAAAAAAAAAAAAATATCGGCCGATATATCGGATTTTAAAACCAACAAATATTTGTATCGGTATCGGCCTTCAAAATCCTTTATCGGTCTAGTTTAAATCTATAATCCTAAAATGAGGAATAGTAATACTGATCCTTGCAAACACATCTAACTACAACCTACTAAGGGAAAGCAGCTGGCTGTTTGCTGCAAATATTCTTGTGTTTGCTCCTTAATGTTTCCCTTGCCTCAATCTCTCCGATGAGGAATGCACCTCTGATAAGATTCATTTTTATCAACCCTTGACACATTCCTTCACGTTTTCATCCCACTCCCACTCTCTCCAAACTCCAAAGCTGTTTTCTTTCAGCACAACTCAGCCCAAATCTTTGAGCTGTTAATGTATTCCCTATCCTCTCTTCAAAGCTCTGTGTCTCTCCAAACCCTGCTCAGGCCATTTCTCGGCAAGATTGTGCTTCACAGATCACAGATCTGTCCACCAAGAATGAATAACAACACATATGCGTAATGGCATCTGTATCTACTCTCGTGTTTGGCAGGGTCATTATCAGGCTGAAACAGATTAGGTCCTTTGTCAAATACATTATGTGAGGTACACATGAGTCTGTGTTTTGTATGCAATTAATAATGCAACCTTTTCTACATGCTGCATTGGAAGGTCAGGTGTTTCTGGTATTGAATGTTTCACTTTGTATTCTGACTGAATCAGCAGACTTCTTATTTAACAAAAGACAGACAGAGAGCTAATAATACCCTTATGTACAGCTCATGTGACATGCAGTCAGGGAAAATTGAGTATTTTTTTACAGTAAAATGAACCACTATATAAATCATCACAGGAACCAGAGAAGTAACTGTACATCTGGATATATTCCTTACCATGGATAATCCTTGGTTGAGTGGCTAAAGATCTCCTGCGTCACTGGATTTAATAGGGGAAACTGCGGAAATGCGACTAAAACGAACAATTTTATCAATTTAAACTAAATGTTGGACTCAATATAGTGTTCCTTACAACTTACTAAAGATCTAGTGATCCATGGATATTGACATGCACACAGGAATCGTGTTGCTTGACATTTATGTTTGCCTGATTTCGACACCGGGGAAATAAAAGCAATATTGATCAAAACATAAAGCAAATTTGCCTGTGAACTCTTTATATAAATACAATATCAGGTCTAAATCCGGGTGATCACTTATATCAGTGTTATATATAGCCTATATATGAAGAGTTCAGATGCAAAAGCCTCTAAGTGCCATTTGAAATTTTCTTCTAAAATGATTATTTTTTATCAAGCTTGTATATTTAAGTTCAGTAATTTCACTTAAATGGCAGTGAAGATTACCTATTAATTGCCATTTCAGTGAAATTACTGAACTTAAATATACAAGCTTGATAAAAATTCTAGAAGAAAATTTCAAATGGCATTTAGAGGCTTTTGCATCTGAACTCTTCATATATCATCATATAGTCCAGACCCTTTTTTTTGGTCAGTGTTTATTAAAAAACATCCAATAATGCAGAATATGCAATGATAAATATTTAATTGATGAGTTGTTAATATATATAACACAATACAAAATATATGTGTATGGTTTTACACCTAAATTCAGCATATTGACTCAAAAAATCCACCTTTCGCTGACTGGAGTCCAGTAGTTTCTGTGAATTTGAGCTTGAAAACTGCACCTTTTTTGTTGGTCAAGTAATTATAGTTATAATAATTATATTGCTAATTATTAGAGCCAGACCGATATATCGGCCGGACGATATTAGGCATTTTCCATAATATCGGTATCGGCAGGCATAATGGCCGATAAATGAATATTTAAAAAATAAAATAAAAACGGACGAAACACGCTTTAATCATCTCTCCTTGGCCTGTTATATTTAAAATGTATGTTTTATAATTTGCAGTATGATGTTATCTATTGCTAAATTATGGCTCTTCATAGACTGGCTTATGGCTTATCACAGTGGAAGACCGCTAACGTTAACATTAATGAGCTTGGAAACCACAATGAGCTTTTTCTGCCTAAATAAAGTAATGATTACCGTATTTATAACTCGCATATCTCTAGTTACAGTCCCTGCATTGTAAAATGTAAGTTATACTTGCGAGGAGTGAACATTTAGACAGAGAGAAAAAGTATCAAACGTATCTTTTTCTTTTACACGTGTGTGAAATCCAACAATATTTAATAAAAAAATATATATATATCGGCCGATATATCGGAATATCGGTCGGGCTCTGCTATTCATATTTCCCTTTTGAGGTTTTACTACACTTTGCTTCATTCTCTTGTCTTGCTTGCCTGTCTAAGATCAGATCACCATTTAATTTGAAACAGTCTGTTGCATAATTAAGCTTTCCCTTCAAGAAGCTGTTTTCCACACAAAAGGCTAAGAACTACAGTATCATCTGGCTTTCTGTTCACTTCCCTTCTTTTCCCAGTCATGTGAAGTTGAAACGTCTGTGCACTCAGTAAGAGGCCGGATAAGCCTTCCCATCAGCCCTTACTCGTGTTGGGGAAGCACATTGTGCATTTCCACACTGGCACATTTCAAGCCCTGTCATTGGGCAAAATATTAGCCACATTCATGCAGCGTTTGTTTTTTGGGTCAAAAACAGATGGGCAAACATGATCATGAGCAAGCACTTTATTGATGCTATGTTACTGTAATGCAAATTTGACACAAGACATACTGTAATTGCTCAGCTGAGCTGGGACTCGGCTTATTTCCATGGAGGCATGACACACCAGGAAATCACACACAGAGATGGAAAAAAAAAACATCCTAGACTTGACTTCCTGTAAGCAATATGTATCGCAGGGTTCCCAATAACGCTGCCAGCAAATAAATGCAATACATTTGTATAAAGCTCACAGTACACAAAAACAATCCCATTGGGTTTATCATGGCAGTGTTTGACGGAATACTCCCTAAATTCCCAACTAAAATAATAAATAAATCTTGAACTCGTAAATTGTTTTAAACTTCATGACAGGCATGTTTTGCACATATTGCAGGGAAAATCCATTGAGAACAGACTGGTTGGTTTTCTCAAAAGTGTGGCTGTGTGTGAGTGTGGACAGATGCAGTGGGTGTGGTATTTATTTATTTGTTTTAAATAAACCTGAAAATATATAAAAACAAGGTGATGATGATGATGCAATAACTGCAAGGGTGAGTGACGTACGTCCTTGCCCTGCTTGAATATTGTGAAGGACGGGGAGTGCAGAAAGGTTTTTTGTCTTTGGAATAGCATGCATGGATGAATCCTGCACAACATATTTCAAAAACAAAGACTTCTGAAAAAAAAAAAAAAGAAAAAAGATGTCAGTGTATAAATGAGTGAGTGAATGTGAGGCAAATGTAATGTAAGCGCTTTGGTGGCCACTGAGTCTGTGAAAGCGCTATATAAATGAAGGCCGATACCGATACCAATAATTTGAGGTTTTAAAATCGATATTCCGATATATTGCCGATTTTTTTTTATTTATTATTATTAAATATTGTTGGATTTCCCACACGTGTAAAAGAAAAGATAACTTTTCTGCACAAGATACGTTTGATACTTTTTCTCATGTCTAAATGTTCACTTCTCGCAAGTATAACTTACATTTTACAATGCAGGGACTGTAACTAGAGATATGCGAGTTATAAATACGGTAATCATTACTTTCTTTAGGCAGAAAAAGTTCATTGTGGTTTCCAAGCTCATTAATGTTAACGTTAGCGTTAGTCTTCCACTGTGATAAGCCATAAGCCAGTCTATGATGAGCCATAATTTAGCAATAGATAACGTCATACTGCAAATTGTAAAACATACATTTTCAATACAACAGGCCTGGAGAGATGATTAAAGCGTGTTTCGTCCGTTTTTATTTTATTTTTTAAATATTAATTTATCGGCCATTTATAACTGCCGATACCGATATTATGAAAAACGCCTAATATCGGCCGATAATATCGGTCTGGCTCTATCTATGGGTTTGTATTTCATTTCATTGCACCTGTGGACATTCATAAATATGCTCTAACATCCAGAAATGTCAAAATTATTAGAAGTTATTTCTCACAAATGGCCCTGAGGGGCTGATAAAGGGCTTTGT